TGTTCTTCACAGTTAGAAGGTGGGAGCTCTCGTCAAATGATGATCTCCAGCATCATCTTGTTCATGCCAGGCTTTTCATCCACTGACCACAGACACCTAGAAACATCAGGGGGACCAGTAGATGTTTAACACATCTGGAAGGAAACCAGTGAGATTTTAATATGACTCTGACCATTATGATATGATGTTATGGGGGGAGTGGTGGAGCAGAAGTTAGAAGATGGGCCTGTGATGGGAAAGCCACAGGTTCAACTCCCGGTACCATCAACATCAAAATGTGGGTGGAAAAGGTGAAACACCCACACCTGCCTCCACCCTCATTGGCCCCACTCTGGGCCCCTGAGCAAGGCACTCAACCCCCACCATCTGCTCCTAAACAGGTCTCTCTAGAAAATGAGTTCTCGTGACTCAGTGAGACTACCTGGATAAATAAAGAGTAAATGAAAAAAAATAAAAGTTTAAAATAGAAATACTCACATCATTAGGCCGAGGTTGTGTGTGTGACGTGCACGTTCCTGAGGTTGTGTGTGAGACGTGCACGTTCCTGAGGTTGTGTGTGTGACGTGCACGTTCCTGAGAGGCCACAGACAGAGCAGCTCCAGCTTTTGTTGAGTTCCTGTAGTCCTGCAGTTTTCAAGCTGAAATGAAAAAACATCATAAATATGAACTTTACAGTCTATAGTTACCTGTTCATATAAACACATGGAGGTGTCTCACCTTGTGACTCACAATAAAATATGAACTCTAATGAACTTATAATGATGCTCCTACTCTTTGAAGGAGAACCGATGGTACCACACCATCTCTCTGTTGGACAGTTTAATCAGTTTTATCAAAATCCTCTAGTTTCAAATCCTCACTGCTCAGATGAATCCTCCTCAAAGATACTTCCTCCTCTTCCTCACATCTTGTTCTTTGGGAAACCTTCAAAATGAAAACAGGAGATTTGTGTCTACACAAAAACATTGTATTGTACAAAGGAGGTCAAGCTTTTTTTCTATTTCCTATATTCTCCCTAGTTTTATTTTTTTATTTCCTAGAACTTAAACAAAACTCCAGTTTTGATGCATATCTGTTGATAATTAACCAAAGCTACAGAAATAGTGAGTATACTTGTTAGCAAAATATTCCTGTCATCAGATCTCAGTCAGCTTCATTGCAGCTGAACACCATGTTACACTGAACATCACATCAGCTGGTGGACATAAATACAGCACAGTAATATTATATTCACAAAATAATAACAATAATATGTTCATCTTACTTGTGAAAAGTTATTCCCTGAGACCTGACGTCAACTGTCCGTCGATAAGAACAGAAATAAGCTGCGAAGTGCTGAGACATCTTCTGCTTTAACCAAATAAAGACGACCGTTCCAAGATGGCGGCCAAAAATCCTGCGCCGCAGCAGCCAATGAGGCATCTAGTGTTTATATCTATGGTTCAGATGACCTGACTGAAAATTGTTGGATTGTATACCTGGATTATTGAGCATTACAAAAGGACTATAGAAGATTAGCTTCCAAGCAAAAGTTTTTGTATGTAGTGTTGAATGTGAATTGTTTGTGTACATGCTATATGTAAACAAATGTGAAAAATGCCAATAAAATGTTAAATGATTAAAAAAAAAAAAAAAAATCTGACTTTAATCTCAGAATTCTGACTTTTTTTTCTCAGAATTAAGGGGGGAAATTATTTCACCGTGGCTCTAATTCTCTTCTGTATCTTCTGTATTCATTGCAATAACTTTACAGAAATGAATAACCACAGTTCCAGACTGGCCACTCTTGTATTGAGATAGCATTTCCCTTGTGGTGCAAATCCTCAGAGGCTATGGTGGTTGGTTAGTTTGCTGCGTTAATTTACCAAACTGTAGGCTGAACAGTGTAATCCTGTGTGGCATTGAGGGGCACTACGAGTTATAAATTGTGAGCCATTTGGCGTTTAGTTCACTTACAGCTTTTACCTTTTAGGAACTCTGGGTGAGAGCTATCTTTATTTACTAGAGTTAATGTGTCTTATTTAGATTTGTGATCTGAGATTTAAATTGCTGATTATTTATAAGAAATTTAATTATCCGTTTTGTAAATTTTGCTTTGTGCAGGCCAAGGCGTCATGGATCTGTGTGTGACTATCAAAGGTGTCTCCTTCATCTTGCAAATGGGTATGGGCATATTGGGGAACACTGTGGTGCTTCTGGCATACACCAACATTGTTAGCTCTGAAACAAAGCTCCTGCCTGTGGACATGATCCTGTGCCACCTGGTCTTTGCCAACCTGATGCTGCTACTGACCCGCTGTGTACCCCAGACCATGACCGTGTTTGGGCTGAGGAACCTTCTGAACGATCCTGGGTGTAAAGTGGTGATTTATGCCTACAGGATCAGTCGGGCATTGTCTGTTTGCATCACTTGCATGCTCAGTGTATTTCAGATGGTGACAATAGCCCCTACTGGGCCCCGACTGTCTAGGTTGAAGCCTGCTCTTCCCTCACTGGTCCTCCCCACATTTGCAGGGCTCTGGCTCCTCAACATGGCCATTTGCATTGCAGCCCCTTTCTTCTCTACGGCTCCACGTAACGGCACTGTACCTGCCTTCACCCTCAACCTTGGCTTCTGTCATGTGGACTTCAGAGACAATCTGTCCTATGTCATTAATGGAGTAGCTGTTTCTGGAAGGGATTTTGGCTTTGTTGCCCTGATGGTGGGCTCCAGTTGTTATGTCCTCCTTCTTCTCCACCGCCACAGCAAACAGGTAAAAGGGCTTCGTCGCTCTCTGGGCAGTGGGACAGAAACCAGAGCAGCCAAGACAGTGCTTACCCTGGTGGTTCTTTACGTTGTCTTCTTCGGCATTGATAACATGATCTGGATCTACATGTTGACGGTGTCAAAGGTCTCACTGGTGGTGGCTGATATGAGGGTTTTCTTCTCATCCTGCTATGCATCACTCAGCCCATATTTCATCATATCCTCGAACAAGAAGGTCAAGGAGAAAATTGTGTGTTCGGCAGAGCATGACCAACTGTCAGTGGAGAGTCAGTAGTCAAATGATAAACGATGTAATTTTGGTTTGACAACCAGCTGACTGAACTGCATTTGCATCAGAATTGGTCTCCCAAATCTTATCATTTTGAGCACAGATGACGGGTTTAGCGCAATGGCCCATTTAGAATCAGAAAGTGTCTTACAGTGATTATGGTGTGCATGTGTAAACGTATATCACTATGTTCAGCTAAAATAAGTTAAAAGTAAATACAAAGTTTTGTTTTCTTCTGGCAGTGTGTTTTGGTTTTTCCTAGCATCTTAGTTAAGATAATTTTATTCTTTAAAATCAACAATGAGTTTTGAATTTCTATTAGTGTGATAAGACAAGACAGAAATGAACAGCATGTTCTTATTTTGAGAGTTTCTAGTGACTCAGGAAGAAGCTATTTTAACTAACATTTTTGTTTATATTACTATATAATTTCCCATCATGATTTTTGAACCTATTTAAAGTGCTGTTTGAGCATGAGCCATAACAGAACCTGTCAATAGTATACTGTATATTTTAGATAGTCACAAAAACAAAAACCTTCAATTAGCAATGTAAGATTTTATTTCATTTGAATTAATATTGAAAATGTTACATGAAATGTAACCTGACCTTAAAAGTTGTAGCCTTTTTGTTCAATCCAAAAGCATTTATAGCTTGAAAACAAATTAAATAATGTAAGTAAATACATAAAATATATATATTAAAAAAATAAATAAACAATTAAATAATTTAATTAATTAATAAATAAAACCACGCTGAAAACTAAAAACTACACTGAAAACAACCATTGTAATCATAACAAAGACTGGTCTGACTTTACAGCGCTCTGATTGGCTCAAATGTTGAGATTTAGTTGTCTATTTTATGACCTCAGTTATATTTTTCAGGGAACAATTCACTCAAGACACCCAGTAAAATGTCTTTGTGAACATTTGTACACAGACGTAAAATAACACTAAATATTACCTTAAGCTTTATAAATGTATCTGTTTTAATAAATCTTAAATTCGCCCTGTGTGAACTATTTTAAACCCTCCGGTGAATGATCGTGTTATACCTGAAAGACAATACTTAGGGTTTAATTCATTCAAATCTTTAACGCGATCAACCCGGAAAAAGAAAGCGGAAGAATTAACTTAAAAGTACAGAACAGTTGCAAAAATCTTTAAACCTGTTAAATGCGCGTGACTATGTGAGTCTTTGTTTAAAATATAGCATTTACGAGTCGATATCTTTGTAAAAAATACGGCAGACAAGCTTTTTTTAAAGACAACTGCCCAGTTTAAATAGATGAAACTAAAAGTGACTAGAGTACTTTTAGTCCACAAGTATGATTTTTGAAGACTTTTCACTCGTTCTGTGCCTCAATCAGCGTGAGGTCGTGCTTTAGGTAAGTGTGTTTGTTTATATTTTCACGTTTAGCTGCTTGGTGGTGTTTATTTTAAAAAGGTGCTTGCTTTTTCCAATAATTTTTTTTTTTTTTTTTTTTTTAGCAGTATGTGTACCTGTTTCCCTCAAATCTGGATTTGTGCCCAGTCCAATAACATGCCCTGATTCGTGTGTTTCGGCTTTTGTTGCTCATAAGAATGGTCAGAATAGCCTGGTATCAAGAGAAGGTAAGACCTTGATTTTTGTTCCATTAGATAATATATAAACTAATTTTTGCTCTTTCTCTCTTTGCGTGATAATGTTTTATTAGTGTTTGGGGTAGAAGTAAAATGTGTAAAACATGATAATGTGAATTTGAAACCAGGTGTAGGACTAAAACTTTAGGAGTTTACGAGCAAAATATAATTTCTTTCTCTTTCTCACACACACTATATATATATATATATATATATATATATATATATATATATATAAATATAAATATAAATATATATATATATATATATATAAATATAAATGGTCCTATTGTATTTTAATCTGCTAAATCTTATTTATTTTTGTTTCCTCTGTGGGCCGGAGGTTGTCTTGGTTCTATTTCGTATAGGCTTCGCCCTTTAAGAGCTGTCGCTTAGTGGGTTTATCCCGTCATGCGAAGCATTGCACTGAAAAATTTAGTCCATGCCCACCTGCTGTGTGGGCCCCACCCGGTCCGTATTAATTACGTTAAGAGCGGGTAATCGGCTCCCATTTTTCTTCAGCAAGCTAATAGCACTGTCAGAAGAACAAAGAAGGAAAGTTGTCTAGCTTGACCAACCTTTGTTAAGACTGCCTGTGACCCCGCCACGTCAACCTCCTGCCATCCCGGTGAGTTCTCCTCCCCGAGGAGAAGCAGACGAGCAGTCTTGTTTCAAGGTACGCGCCGAGGAGTATTTCTCAGTGGCAGGTCGCTACACGCTGGACGACGCCATCTTGTAATTTTCCTTTTATCGCGGACTCTTGGAGCGAATCGGATGGCTCCTCTGGGACAGGCGACGTCAGCAGCAGCCTCCCGCTGTTCACTCCCTCCTGGAGAGCGTAGTGTTTTGAACGAGGGGGGCTGAGTGAATGCTTACCCCCCCTGGACCTTTTTTCGCATCGGCGACCACACCGCTCCCAGCCGTCGGTGCCCTCCTCTGGAGCTGCCTGGCATAATCTAGGAGGCGGCTGACATGAAGAGACTTTTTTCCGTCCCTCTCCTTCCCCCGCCCAGATCGGATGATCTAGCGGGAAGGTTTCTGGGCTCCATTCCGGCTCACCTTCCCGATCCCATCTGGCCTCGTTTCCCAGCAGTGACGTCCTACTGGGACGAGGCCGCAGCCGGTCCTGGTAGAATAAGGGCGCCGGTTCCCACATTCGCGCCCATCACCAGAGTGGAGGGATTTCACAGAGCGGAAATTCCCTCGGTGCCCCCCTGGAGCTGAGCCTGGCGGAGGCTTACGGAGCAAAGATGTCCAGGTTGGACCAGCATCCTGTGCCTCCGGTTAAGCATGACCAGACGGTGACGTCGCTCTCAAACCAAGCTCTCCAGTGTGCGTTCCAGGCAGCCGCAGCGAACAATACATTACGCTGCTGGCATACAACGTTCAAGAGGCTGGAGGAGACGTAGCACTCCCTCTGCAAGGCAGCTGACGTCAACCTGTGTGCCTCTTTTGTTGTCTGCCAGTCTCGCATCGCAGGCGGAGGACGAGGTTTTCCAGAGGTCCACCTGGCCCGTCACTCCACCTCTCTCTCGGAGGAGCTGCTGAAAGTTTTTTTGTTGGAGGGCCCCCATCAACGACGGACGTGCTGTTCGGGACCATTTTCAAGACGTTCCATGGCTGCAGCAGCATCTCCCCGCTACGCCAGCCCCGCCTGTCAGACATCAGCCTTTCTCATCCCGGCAACCAGAGGTTCAGCGTTTCCCTGAGATCGCCAACAGGCGGCGCCCTAGGACAACAAACCGCAGAGCTCACCGGGGAGATGATTCAAAATGATGGTTTGCGGAGGATGTGTGTAAAGATGACACGAGTTTTTGGAATAAAACATCATTTAATGATGAAAGTGTCTGTTTTTTAGCCAGTCTGTCAGCTTGGATGACCTCACAGCGGCTCTTTCACACATCCTCCACACAAAACGAGCCGGTGGCCTTTAAAAAAGGTTTATTCAGAATCACCGTTGCTCCAAATAAGGACGAGACGCTCGCTTGACACAACAGTCGAAGCGAATGTGGTCCGCAGAATGAGTTCAGTGGAATAACTCGTTTTCAGCCCGAGCTGCACACTTTCAGGAACGGCACGCATCTCACCGAAGCAAACGCGTGCTTCCGCGGCAACTGCAGCCTTCATTCAAACGACGCAGCGTTGATGAAGGCGCGCGCACCGCCTCTCAGCGCTTGCCCGCTCGCATCAGCATAAATGTGAGACCACAGAACGGGCCCAGTGAGAAACCTCGCTCTCAGCAGGAGTGGCACGCGCCTCACCGAAGCAAACACGTGCTTCCGTGGCGCCTACAACCTTCATTCAAATGACGCGGCGTTGATGAAGGCCCGCACAGGAGCGGCACACGTCTCACCGCAGTGGTGTCAAACGCGTGCTCCCGCGGCGCCAACAGTTTTCACATGCCTTTCCTCAACACACGCCGGTCCACATAGACATGAATGTGAACCCGCAGCCCGAGCGTGGCACAGAGGCGCGTTCACAGCCCTTTCGAGGAAGCCTCTCCTTGGGTCACGCGGAACACACTTCCGTGGCGCATGACGACGATCGGGGCGGTAGACTGGCTGACGTCCGTAAAAACATGACGCACCACCTAAATGCACGTCCACTCCACGAATATTACGCGGAGTGGATGCGAGCTTGCTCGCCAGACAGATGGATGACTAAGCTGATAGCAGGGGTTACACACTGCAACTTGCAACCCGACCCACTCCGTTCGGAGGAGTTTTTAGAGACGGTCCTGTCATCACCAGACCAGGTCTCATCCCTAAAGGCAGAAGTCCAGGGGTTCCCGACGGAGAGGAAAACACAGGTTTTTTTACTCACGTTACTTCCTGGTTCCAAAACGGACCGGAGAAACAAGACCGATTTTGGGCCTGTCAGTTTTGAACAAGGCGATTGTGGGCAGACCGCTTCACATGTTGACAACGGGAAGCAGCGGCACAGGCTCAGGTGTAGGGCTGCAACTAACGATTATTTCAATAATCGATTCATCGGCTGATTATTTTTTCGATTAATCGATGAATCGGCAAAAAAAAACAACACGTTTTAATTTCCACCCCTTTATTCCAAAATTGAACATTTGACTGACATAGCAATTTACACAAAAAACAGGTTGCTATTTGACTATTCTGTTGGTAAAATATTGAATAAATATAAAAGTTAGTCAAATAGCTTACAAAAATAAATGTACACAAAAATATATACAAATGTATGCTTTATACCTGCACAATATTTAGCTACTTTGTAAAATGTGTCCTTCAGGGAAGAGTGTAACCTGGATTAAAAGTGTGGATTATTGTAGTGAAGCCTTCATCTTCAACCATCGACAGAGGCCTTGTGTCAGTGACGATCATTTAAGGATCTTTCAGTGAAGACAGCTGCTGCTGTGGTGTCCATGATGTCTGTCCATCATAAAGGCTGTTGTTGTTTGTTGTTGTTTTCTGGAATGAGACAGTAAATATGTATTATAGAATAGAATAGAATAGAATAGAATTCAACTTTATTGTAATTGTACATGTCACAGGTACAAAGCAACAAAATGCAGTTTGCATCTATCCAGAAGTGCTTAGCAAGAAAAATAAATTGGTAGATATATATAGTACAATATACAGTAAGTTGCTTTGAATATGCTATAGGTATAAATATATACAGGTTGTGAGTGTACAGACTATGAACAGGTTATAATATGAAGGGGTATAAACAGCTATATAAAAGAAAAATATATATAAGTATGTGAGTACTTATGAACAGTAGATAGTAGATTATGTGTACAGTTTGTACAGTAGTGGGCTAACGGATGAAAGTGCAGGTGGTGGTGTTACATTATTCATTATAATTATTATAGCATAATTTACAGCAACTCAAGACATGCCTTGTTTTGCTTACAGTGTTAGGTTCAGGCAAAAGTAGCTCAAAGAGCAATTAAACACACACACACACACATAAAATACTTAATTACACACATTTGAGTAGATGTAATAAATTACTTTAATTCCTGTTTAAATGCAATTCATCCTGCCATACCTGCATTGTCTTCAGACTTTGCCAGCAAATTAAAAGTTGAAGCTTAATCATTAAATTATTATCTTTGTGTTAGATTTATTTATAAATCACATTTAAACACTGCTTGTACCAATTAAATTAAATTAAAAGTAACACACACGTTCTCTATCACGTCATTAATCAGAAAAACAAACAAACAAACAGCTTCATCTACCAGACAGACTGAAACAGAACAATGTGTTAAATTGTAGAGACTCACCTGCAACACGAGTTGGGAGTGAGACGAGTTGTATCAGCTGTTTAGCTCCTTTCTCCTCCTCGTGACTCCGACATGTTTACGTTTTATCTTCGTGGTTCTCTCGTGTCGTGTCGGCGATTTTCAAAGCTGCATGCTTCTCATTTTTTATCTTTGTGAAGTTCTCCCACACTTTGGAGGACTTGGGTCGAACAGTTTTCTCTGCGTTGGTCATTTGTAAAATTTACTTATATCCCTTTGAAAACACCGCCTCGCTCTGTTCAACTCGCGCTGCAGTTTTTTTTTTTTTCAAACTTTATTCAGTCGGTCAGCATTGACAATGAACTGCTCGTGAACAAAACGAAACAACTCCGCAGCGCCGTGAAAGACGCATAATCGCGCGACACAACGAATCGATAATGAAATTCGTTATCAACGCTTTTAATCATCGATTTTTATCGATTTTATCGATTCGTTGTTGCAGCCCTACTCAGGTGCTGACGTCACACCTGCTAATTCTGGGCTTCGCCATAAATTGGAAAAAAGCTTGATTCTCCCGGCCCAGATGATTATCTGGGAGTGGAGCTAAACTCGACCACCATGAGAGCTCGTTTATTCATTTATCACAGACTAGAATTGACACTCTAAGAGTCCAGCTCCACCACGCAGAGTAGTAACAGCTATTTTCCATCATGAAGCTGTTAGGAACGATGTCGTCCGCTCACACAGTGGCCCGCTGGGTTTACTACACATG